AAATAATAATAATAATTATTATTTAATCTTTAGTGAGATTCACAGCCTTTGGGGCTGGTTAGTAGCTCAACAGCTTGAGTCCTAACCAAGGACTTAGGAACTGTTAAAGTAACGTCGGAGGATGATGATGATGATGATGATGATAATAATAATAATATTCCATTTCTGCCTGACTTCATCAAGATTACTCCCTTGGGGCTAGAAAACTAATAACTACCTATTTGTCATTCAATCTTACTCAACTGTAGCCTTGATGTTTTTTTCAGAATGCTAATTCTGAGGCACCATATACTGATATTATCCCGTTATTAGAAATACAGGTAGTCCCCTCCGTACAATAATTCATTGTCAACTTGCAAAGCATCCCTGGCCTGCTCTCGAGTTGCCATAGGCAAGGAGGATGGGACACTGATGATGTACCCACAAACAGAAGCACATTCGAGGCATATCTTTCTCAAGGCTGTCTCCCAGGTTACCCTCAGCAGCCAGAGGGGAGTGATCTCTACAGCCCATGAAAGTGCTCCGTTGGAGAATGTGATTTATGACACATCCTTGGGGGGGGGAGGGGAGAACAGGGTCATAATTGGCCCGTAAATTATGTGCGGTCAGAGTTGGCTTCTCTTGGGTAGTGGAGACATATTGCTCCTAATAAATAACTGGATTTCTTTTGAAGCTTGGCTTGCAGCTCATGATTTAATTAGGGCATCTGTCGGAACCCCAACATTTGTTTAGTGATCGTTGGAAGAAACTCAAGACTATTTTTCACACTTTACAACCGTTGCAGCATCCCTGTGGTCACGTGATCAAAATCCAGACGCTCGGCAACTAGTTCACATTTATGACAGTCAAAGTGTCTTGGGTGGGTGTCACATGATATCCTTTTGTGACCTTCTGGCAAGCAAAGTCAATGGCGAAGCCAGATTCGCTTAATGACTGTGTCCCTCGTTTAACAACTGCAGTGAACCGTGGCAAGAAAGGTTGTAAAATGGGAGAAAAGTCACTTAACAGCTATCTCACTTAGCCATGGAAATTTGGAACTCGATTGTGGTCGTAAGTCGAGGGCTACCTGTATAGTACGTTCTTCAAAGTTTCTCTTCCAAGGAAAACAAAAAAAAACAAAAAACAGGAAAAGTACTGTGGAAGAGAAAAAGCAGAAGGATCAAAAGGTGAGAAATGTGTGTCTTTTTTCCTGTCATTCTTGGAAAGCATCCCATTAGGTAAACTGAAATCCGCACCGATTCGAAAACAAAACTTCCGGGCCCATCTTCCACGTCCTCTTAAACGGCCAGTGTTGTCTCCGGCGTTAGTGAAATGATGATCAGGACGAAGCCAAAATGAGGATGGCATGAATTAAGCATATTAACGAGGCTGCCATTAATATGTACAGGACAATTTTTTAAAATGTTCCTTGCGCCGAATTACCTCATGGTTTTCACTCCGTGGGAAAAGAAAGGGAAGGGGGGAAGGGATTAAATGAGTCAGGAAGTTAGAGGAGAGGCAAAACAGATGAGCTGGGTTTTGGCATGCAAGATTAAAAAATAAAAATAAAATAAATTACCGCATTAAGCATATCAACATACCCATCATTGTAAGCAGCGTCATGTCGGGAAGAGGTAAGAATGTCCATCTCAATGAAGTTGTCCTGTAATGTCTCAAGGAATGTCTGCTTTGGTATGTTTCTATGTACAGGTGGAAACACGAATGAAGGCAAGTGAGACATGCAGCTATGAAGCGTGGCACCCTCACAAACCCAACAATGGTTATAAGTGTGGCTGCGCATGGAATTAGAATGAAGGGGCCGCCATCGGTCCATCAGCATAGTGCGTGGCAACATAAGAGAGATAGACAGCACTGGAGAAGCACCCACTCCCGTCTCAACAAAAATCTACTTGTTGTAGCTTTGTCGGCTGCCGGGCCTTCCGGCAGCTGAATCGGAGGAGGCGTTGGAGTCAGGGGCACGGAGCTCCAAGGGGGAAGAGGGAATGGAGCTGTCATAGAGAGAGCGAGACAGAAGCAGAGCCCGGGCCGTCCGTCAGCCCTCAGATGGAGAGTGAACAGCCCCCAGGTCTGGAGGTGGCTGATGAGGAAGAGGAGGAACAGCTGGGTCCAGTGATTGACACGTGGAGGTTCAGAAGGCAGAGGAGAGGAGAGCAGTGGAAATCTATGGGCTGGTCCTTGGGATGGAAGAGCCACCACTGCTAGCAAACCCTCACCCTAGCTCTGGGGATCAAAGGCAGGGGGTGGAGATGAATAGGTGTGGCAGAGGAGAGGAGAGCAGTGGAAATCTATGGGCTGGTCCTTGGGATGGAAGAGCCACCACTGCTAGCAAACCCTCACCCTAGCTCTGGGGATCAAAGGCAGGGGGTGGAGATGAATAGGTGTGGCAGAGGAGAGGAGAGCAGTGGAAATCTATGGGCTGGTCCTTGGGATGGAAGAGCCACCACTGCTAGCAAACCCTCACCCTAGCTCTGGGGATAAAAG